GAAATCGTTAGACTTTCTATCAGAATTTCACAGCTTCCAAGGTCTCTGTTGGGGCAACCCACACTTTCACCCGCAGTGACCACTTTAGACAGGAAGTGAGCAAACTCCTCCAATTAGCAATTAAAACCTAACTTTCCTTGCTATACTAAAGTTTTTTATTGTTGTCTGTTTGGCCATAAAGACGTAAAGGAAACCCTCCTCAGCAAAGAAAACATCAGCGTTAAATACCTTCAAAGCCTTCCTTACTCTAGGCAAAACTAAAAAAAATGGGTCTGGCATGACATTTTTAAAAGGACTAGCAAGAGCATGCAAGTATCAGAATCAGTGAAAGAATCAGGCAGTTTTCTTACTATAAGCATTTAATTTAAAATGTCAAACAGTTTGACTTTAAAGTCACTTAATAACATTTCTGGGTGAACAGGTAAATGGTTAGAACTGAGGATGATCATTTGAGGTGTTGGGGACAATACTTTCCAAATCATGTGACTTACTGCGTAGTTAATATGGCTTTAATGTCATTGTAGAGTATCTTATGCATAAATTCAGTTTTTCTTGAAGTGTGCAACATCTCCATTGTCCTTACAGGGGAGTGCTGACTATTTCCTCACCAGTGGTGACAAGATATGCTTCTTTTTTGAGAAAGGGGTGTTCAATGATAAAGGTAACACAAGTGCATGATATATATTTTTACATTCGGCAGAGACATTGCTTAAAATGAACCTATGGCCAAGCTATGGACCAGGGGCGGACTGACCATTTGGAAATTCGGGCACTGCCCGAGGGGTCAGTAAGGGGCCCCTGGAGATGCCACCGGGAACCTTTTTTATAGGCTTTTTTGAGTTTGGGCAAGGACACAGGGGCCCCATGATCCCCTGTTGCCTGGGGGCCCCATGAGTTGACAGTCCGCCCCTGCTATGGACTCTTCACAAGCGCTAACTGAGCTATAAAATAAAGCTGGCCATAGGCAGCGTTTTTTTTTTTTTTAATGCAGTCAGTGGGTTGAATGAAGAAACTGAATTGACTTCTCCATCCACAAAAGCAAGGTGGATGGTGATTCCCCCCCCTGCCAGGACAGTGGCTTTAGCTGCTGATCGACTAGTTTTTCATCATTCACATTCAGTGACAGCCACACATGGATCAAAATTTGTCTGTTCCCTACTAAACCTGCCAAATATGGATCAATCGGTGGCCAACTGTCAAGGTCCTACCTTTTCCCTGAGGTTATGTTACTCCATGTGCTGGCGTCCATCTTGGATTCTGCTGTGCATGATGGGAATCCTTTTATGCCTTCAGGTCTCTGTGGTCCATCCCCCAGAGGGGTGTGGCTGATGACATATAAGCCTGTGGCCCGCACATGCTCTTTGCACTTGTGTCTTGTGTCTTTGTGTTGCTATTACTCTGTTCTGACTCTCGTGACTCTCCTGGTATCTGATTCAGCTTGTGACTTGACTATTCTTTGTATTCTCCTTTGATCTGACCCTCTGTTGCTGAACCCGGCTCGTGACCTGTGATTCTCGTCTGCTGTCCTGTACTGTTTTGTCCTGTTGTTGTTGACCCGGCTTGTCTGACTACTCTTTTGTCTCTTCCACCAGCTACACGCCATTGGCGGCGGCCATTACCGCAGCTGAGGTGTCTCGGGGGCCGCGACCTGGTTCCTGGCTGCGTCAAGTCCATCCCCACCATCAGGGGCCCTGGTGAAGGGCAGCCTGGGACTTAGACTCCGCGCCCTGAGGGACTTCGGTCTGTGGGTGGTGGTTGTCGTCAGCCAGTGCGTTACATTGTTAGGCCTGCCTGTCCGTTCCTCGGCCCCTGCCCTGACACCAGCTTTAGCCCTCATGCACACGGGATGTTTTTACAGCGGCTGTTTTTGGCTTTTGACATTTTTTTTTCTGCCGCTAGTAAACCCCCCCCAGCATGTTATCCTGTGTGTCCATGCACACATAGACTGTAATCAACGTTTTTTGGCTGGGACGTTTTTTGGCTGGAAAAAAACCCCAGGACTAGTGGGTTTCCAGAGGAGTTTTTTAGCTATAAAATGCTCTAACAATGACAAATGCGGTAAAATGCCGCAATCCAGCGTTATTGGACTTTTTTTGACAAAAAAAATAAAAACGCAAACGTGGGAAAACGCTGCTAAATGCTAATGCAAAAAAACGCTTATAAAAGCTGAAACACTCAAGTTTTTAACATGATTTTAAACAGCGAACGTGACCAGCTTTATCAAAATGTCCTGTGTGCATGAGGACTAATGCAGGCCAACATCGCTCATTCTGTTGCCATCAATGATTGCGAAAATCGGACGTTTTTCGCAAATTTTCCAGCATGACCGATAAAAGAAATGAGGAGGAACTGCGAAAATCGGCCAATGACATTGCCCCACTAACGGTGCGAAAATTGGCTGATTATTCTTTCGGATGAAAAATCTGCCGATAATTGAACCGTCTGTGGCCTGCATTAGTCCTCACCCCGTAGCTGCAGAGTCAGTGGATGTGTGAGGTAGTCTTGGACTTTGTACAGAAGTCTTCTCTATGGCTGCTCTACTCCTAAATGGATCTCAGATATGCTGGTCCCTTCAAACTGGGATAGCTGTAGTAAAGGGTGAGGAGTACCATAAAGAAAGGGCTGGAGAGCATCTGATCATTGGAAATTCCATTTATTTTGGAAACATGCAAATAAAACATAGACCATGTGTTTTGGGGTTTGACCCCCCATCTGCAGGATTAAAAGCTCAATCTTTGCTAACCTGTATGCATCCATCCATTCTAATGCAGTAAATCTAAAGGAAATTGTACACAGATTGTTCAATAGGATGGTAAAGTATATGCCAAGTGCTAAGCCTGCTGGAAGCAGATGAAATTCATATAGTATATGGCCAGCTTTAGAGAATATAGAATCTGCTGACCCACATGGAAGAAAAATATATTTGAAATATATTTTAAAAATATTCTCCCCAAATATATTGATATATACTTGAAATACTACAATTTTGGCCCATATTACTGTGTGTATATACAGTATGTGTATATGTATATATATATCATGTTGAAATGCATTTTTATTACAAAATATATGAAAGATATTTTTAAAAATACATTTCACATATACTGTATATCTTTAAAAATACAAATCTACATTTTTGGAATGCATTTACAAATATATATGTAAAAATATATGTTAAAATGACTTTTTTATATGTTAAAATATCTGAAGAATATATTTTAAAAAATATATTTTTAAAAATAGTTTTTAAATATATTCTTCAGATTTTCTTTAACATATAAAAAAAGTTATGTAAATTTGTATTTTTAAAGACATACAGTACATTTGAAATGTATTTTTAAAAATATTTTTCAGATAGTTTATAATAAAAACACATTTCTGTGTGTATGCGTGTGCGTGCGTGTGTATGTATGTGTATATGTATATATAATATATATATATATATATACACACGCACACACATATATATATATGTATGTATATAAATATATTTTTTATATGGCCAAAATTGTAGTATTTCAAATATATGTCAATATATTTGGGAAGAATATTTTTGAAATATATTTCAAATATATTTTTTCTTCCATATGGGGAGCACAATAATAAATTTACAGTAAATATATATGTTGTATGAAATGATGATGATTGATTAATTTTTTTACAGGTGAATTTCTGATAGCAAAAGAAAAATCAGTGAATAAAATAGGACATGGTAAGAAAGTTTATACTGTATGTTGCTCGTAGCTGTATTTAACATAGTGAAAAGATAACGTTTTAATGTGATTGATTTCTATACTGACTGTTTATTATTAGAAGGTGTTGTGTAGAGAAGAATAAGGCTACTGGACTCCAAGTTAAAGGATAAGTTCACCTTTCATAATATGTTACACTCATATTCAGTTTGTAACATGTTATGAATACACTGGCCCCATGATCCCCCCTGCTATCTGTCAAATTTTAAAAAACAGTCCTCTGTGAATGAGAATCTGCAAGTCCTGACAGCCTTAGAGGCTGTGGTAGTTCATTGATTCATCCTGTCAGTATATCTGCTTGTTTATACATCCCGTATGGGCAAGCAGATATACTGACAGATCTGCAGGAGACCTGCATGGCACCAGCGATCAACAGATTGGTTTCCAGGCTGCAACCAAAAATCATTAAAAATAGGGATGCACTGAGATTTCGGTAGCCAAAACGTTTCGGCCGAAATGAAAAGAAAGCACTGATACAGGTCCCGGAAAAACCCCACCCCTCGTCGCCGCCCCCGCCCACCGTCGCTGCCGTGAGAAGAATAAAAGTGATTGAACTTTTTTTATTATTATGTATGTATATATTTTATTTATTTTTATTTTTTTTATTTACATTTTTTTTTTTGCACTGTCCCTTTTAAAAAAAAAAATTTCAAGTGCCCCCTTTCCCCCTGTGCTCACACGTCGTAGGCCATGCCCACATATGTAAACGGTGTTCAAACCACACATGAGGTATCGCCACGGACGTCAGAGCAAGAGCAACAATTCTTGCACTAGATCTTCTCTGTAACTTTACACTGCTAACCTGTAGAAATTTTTAAAGCATCACCTATGGAGAATTTTAAGTACCGCAGTTTCACGCCATTCCATGAGCGTGCTCAATTTTAAAGCGTCACATGTTGGGTATCTATTTACTCGCCGTAACATCCTCTTTCATATTTTACAAAAAAATTGGGGTATATATTGGGTTTTTTTGTTATTTTTTAATCAGTGTATTCTTTTCCAAAAAATATATATTCATTTTTAAAAACTGCGCATTTCAGTTTTCGGCCAAGTGCATTTTGAATTTTCGGTTTCGGCACCAGAATTTTTATTTTTGGTGCACCACTAATTAAAAACAATACACCTTTCGAGTCTAGATCTTCACTGGAGAGCTAGATAGGTTTACTGTTGGATGGTTTACGCTTTTAACTTTTTGATTTAATTTCAGCTCTACATGCTTATGTCCCAGTATTTAAAAGTATCACCAACTCCACCAAAATACAGGTGTGTGAACAATCTCTGTATGGTCTTTATATTCTTTAGCTTTGTCCTCAGATAACCGTTATTTCTCTTTCCCGATACAGGAGGTGGGAAGGCGGCTGGGCCTAGTAAAGCCGGTCGTAGTTCAAAGCATGTATATTTTTAAGGTAATCTTTAAACACCTAAATGCTCTAATTCTGTATCTAAAAATGTCTAATATAAAGGCAGTTAGACACATTTTTCAGACAACTTTATCAAAACACAGTGTGCCCTGTGTTTTAATTTAAACTGAGAAGCACAGAGAAGAAGCCCTGTGCAAGCTGGATATGGTTGGACCTTAGACAGGGCAAGGACATTCTCCATGCCCCAACTTGACAGTACTTGGCCTGCTGATTGGTTGCTCGATCACCCAATGCTGCATTGTGGGAGAAATGGGAAATAGTCCCATGTCTCCTCATACCTGGAGGCAAGGTGAATACACGCAAGGGGATGGCTGGGCATTAAAATGTTCTTGATGCTTTGTATAGTTAAACAAATATTCTTATGAAGGAAAAACCAGAAAGAATCTAGAAATGTGGGCTTGGTTCATTACTAGTACCATTTAGCTGGCAGTAACACATGTAATGTAACATATACAGTAGTAGACCACAGCCTGAATGCTGGCCTCAGCCCCTTTAATCTACATTTAAAGTGGACCAACAGCCAACCATCTGTGTGTGAGACAGGTCAGTTGTGAATAGTAAGGCCCTTAAAGTAAGCATTCTGATATGCTCCTTTGCTCAGGCTCACATGGAAGACAAATATATTTTAAAAAGATTCTTCCCAAATATATTGACATATATTTGAAATACTACAATTTTGGCCGTATTCAACAAAAAAAAAAAAAAAAAATATATCTATCTATATATATATATATATATATATATATATACTGTATGTTGAAATGCGGTTTATTTTTGAAAATATATATTTTTTAAAAATATAAAAAAGACTTTTTAACATATTTTTACATATATATTTGTAAAAGCATTCCAAAAATGTAGATTAAATGTATTTTTAAAGACATACAGTATATTTGAAATATATGTCAATATATTTGGGAAGAATATTAAAAAAATATATTTAAAATATATTTTCTTCCATGTGGGGGCTTACACTGCAATCTACTGCACAGGGATATGTGGCTGTAAGACATTAGTGGCCGCACAAGCTAACACTGGGCAGCTCTTCCTTTTCCTAGACTTCACTCCTAATGATACCAGCAATGTAATCCAGTAATCAGAAGAAGCATTGTGCTGCATACGCCTCCAGTTAGGTTGAAATCCCAACAGGCACCCGTGTGGCTAGAAGAACGAAGGCACTGTGACAATTGCTACAATGCTTCTAGTAAGGGATTATATGCTAAAGATACGTTGGGGGGGATTTATTAAAACTAGAGAGTGCAAAATCAGGTACAGCTCCACATGGAAACCAATTAGCTTAAAGGGATGCTAAGCCCCGGACCCTGCATTCACTATATCTGGTCTCCCACAGTACACACAATATGGAAATGCACTTATTTTTAGTACATATAAACTGCTGAGTACCTTTTCTCATCAGCAATTAGAGCAGTCTTGTGACTTCAGGAGAGCACTGGTTAAAGCTTGTAGGAGGATTTTTATTTTTGCTCTAGGAGGATATGAAACCCCTGACCCTCTGTTTGGACAGTGCCGATTGGTCCTGTGCTGATCATATGCACCCTCCCAAGAAAAAAAAAAAATCTCTCTAGCAGTACACACCAAACTGAGCATGTGCATGTGACCATGGGTTCAGTCTGTATCAGGTGTTCATTTCAACCAGAGGAGGGGCAGAGAAGAAAGGATCAAACAGCCTTTTTACACAATGCAGAGGATTAACCTCTTAGGTTCCACAGTGAGTATAACAAGCATGCTTTACTGTATATACAGACTGATTTTACTGTTGTGGGTGTAGTAACACTTTAATTGAACAAGTTGAAGTTAGAAGCTGATTGGCTACCATGCACAGCTGCACCAGATTCTGAGTGCTCCAATTTTAATAAATCTCCCTCATTATATATCAAAGGGTTCCTCGCAATAAGGCCCCATGTACACTGCAGCTGATAAACTCACGTTTAGGAGCTTTTCTGCCTTTTTTTTCAGCAGCCCCGGAACTCTCCCTAATGTTTTCCTATGTGTCCATGTACACTATGTTGTTTACAGGCAGTTGAGTTTGCAGTCGTTTTTTTGAATGCGCTAAACTTGCGTTCAGGAGTAGATTTTATCAGCGTTTCAAACTCCACATGCTTGTAAATGCGTCTAAATGCATTTATAAGCGTTTGGAAAATTTTTTTAACTCTTCCATTTCCAGATGCTGTTCCGAGCCCTTTTTCATCATGAAAAATGCATGCAAATCATTTTCACGGTACTCAAATGGACCTGGTACACCATACTTTGAGGTTTTGCATGAAAGAAAATATGTTAGACACTGTTGCAATAATTTCTGCACAGAAATGAGCTGGAACACATCCAGACACCACAGAAAAAAAAGATAGCTAATCTCAACACATACTGCTCTCTCTGCTTCTGCTCTCTCTATTTCTCTCAAAATGTCTGAAATAGTTAATTGTTTACTGTTTTTCAGTGCATGCTGGGCATTTTGGAAGGTCTCCTGAAGTTATCTTCTAAAATAACGCTTCTAAAAGCAAACGCTCATAAATGCCCATAAACGTGGTATGCAAACGCGGCTAAACAGACATTTTTTAACCTACATTGTCCAGCAGTCAGTTTCCATTGTTCAGAAGTGTCCCATGTACATGGAGCCTAACTGTGCTAATTTATCTCTTTTTCGATTTTTTGAGATTTGCGCTCTGCCTATGTTGGGCTTCCCTGAAGCAGTTTTGCTGAGTGCAGTGTGAACGTATCTGAACGGAACATATTCCTTTTCAGTCACTGTGTTTGCACTACACCAGGCAAAATGTGCTACTGCAGCTGCATGAAGCAGCACTGCTGCTTGTAGTGGGGGTTGGACTTGGACAATCTTTCGAACCCCCAACACAAGCTCCTAAAGCTGGACACCAGAAATGATATTGCTTGCCATAGCTGATATCCAGAGGGCCACTGGGGATGCTGTAAACCACTGTAGTAATTGTGCTACATGTAGGGAGAACCACAGTGATCTTTCAGCTTCTGTGGGAGTGGCTTCCCCTCTGCCCAGAGAACACAGGTGATTGATCGCTTTATATTTTTTCAATGCATGCAAGGCCTTCTGTGATTAAACGAGATGGAGATCATAATGTCACCACCCTTCCTTCCTACAAAGCAAAAGGGGCAATTGAGAAAAGTTCATAGTCAGGGTTTACATACACTAAGATGCATTAACAACTATAACAGATTGACGGCCGGGCGGGACACTCGCCGTTGTGACTAGGAGTCGTATGACGTCCTGTCAAAACGAGCCGCTTACGCGGCTGCTGCGTGATCTGTCACTGGGTGTGTCCACGGGACACAGCCGATGACATATCACTACAACGGCCCATTGCCAGTGTCATGTGACCGCTGTGTCCCATCACAGCACATCACATGTCAATTGTATACAATGGATGGCTTCCTGCCATGCCATTCATTGTATATGTTGTTAGCTGTGACTGGTCAAGGCAGTCACATGATACAGACAGGGCCAATCACAGTCCGTTTGTATCATGTGATCAGTTTTGCCCAATCACAGCTAATCACAAAATTCTGAATGAATCAGTTTTATTCAGGAACAATGATTGCAAATATCAATGAAATACATTGGTATTAGCAATCGTAATGTGTTAAAAAAAATCCTGATCACTTGCCCAGAGTAGTTCAATGTTACTATGGTAACATTGTATTGCTTTGGTCACAGTGTGCTGAAAAATAAAATAGTAAAAAAAACAAAATGTAATAAAAAATAAAAAAAAATTATAGAAACATTTGAAAAAAAAATCCAAATTCAATTAGCATTATTTTCACCAATGAAATGTACTGTATCAGAATACATGTTGACCTAAATTTATGAAGAAACGTTATTTATTTGCAAAATTTTGTAACAGAACTGAAGAAAAATGCGTTTTGTTTTTTTTTTTCAAAAGTTTCAGGTGTTTTTTGTTTTATTTAGCAAAACATAAAAAACTCAGTGGTGATTAAATACCACCAAAAGAAAGCTCTATTTGTGTGAACCAAATGCTAAAAAATTCATATGGGTACAGTGTTGCATGACCGCGCAATTGTCATTCAAAGTGTGACAGTGCTGAAAGCTGAAAATTGGCCTGGACAGGAAGGGGGTAAAAGTGCTCTGTATTGAAGTGGTTAAAGGACACCTAAAGCTCATGGCATGCCTGGGCTTTAGGCTTTGGTGTGTGTTTTTTTTGTTTTTTATGTCATTCCAGAGTACTGTTGTTTATAAATGTGCAAAGTTATAATGGTGTTCAATGCTGTAACAACCTATATGTCGTTTCTTTTTCTTGCAGCAACCTAACATTGGAGGAGAAGGTGAGGCCTCCTTAGATAACATACCTCTGTATACACAGTATGGGATATTCAGGTGTGCCAGTAACCCCATGATTCTTTAACCCCAGTTTATGGTTTTACAATACCTGGTGCAGGTGTGGGGAATCTGCCTTTGTAGCCAGCAGTGGGGCTGTAAAGGAAGACTCCATGTTGGCTTCCAAATGGTGAGGTTCATGCTGGTGCAGTTAGCTAATCTGCTACTATGTGACTCTGTCCCAGAACAGTGTGTATGCTGACCAGGGCCGTGGATAAGGGGGTACCACCAGTCCTCCTGTATGGGGCCCAGGCCAGCAGGGGTCCCAGATAGCTGCGTGAATCAGATCTGGGCAGGGAGGGTGATCGGGGCAGCAATTCCTGGAACCAATCCCCTGTATGGCTCCCTCTGCAGCAGCTGAAAGCAGACTTCTTCTCTCCAGCCCGCTGGCTTTTAGCTGCTGCAGAGAGAGCCATACGGGGGATCGATTCCAGTAATTGCCCCTCTGCCACACTCATCACCCTCCCTGTGCAACATACATTTCCCCCTGCTGCTCATGCTCCCCTGTGTGCCCCCATCCCCGCAGTGCTGCCAGCTTCCCTCCTCTCCTTCCCACTGGCAGGTGCAAGCACACAATAGGGAATTTCATGATGGATAAAGGTCTAGAAAATATGTCCCATTTACCAGCCCATTTTTTTTCATGAATGAACACAATGCGTGATTAGTACTGATCACTCACTGTGTTCATTCATAGCTGAAGCATAGTAAACTATGGGGGTTTTTTTTTTGGAGGGGGGGGACCTGTCAAGTTGGCTGTATGGGACCCTGTGGTTTCTAACAGCAGCCCTGGTGGTGACACTGAATAGTGTAATCAGGTCCTAAAGCCCCCCTGTACTGATGTCATGGGGGAGTCAGTGCCCATATATAAGCCAGGTTGAGAGGAACCTTAATGCATTCCGGGCATGGGAGCCAGGCACCCCATATTGTGCAGATGTAGTCACCTAGTGCAGGGGCTGGAGGACAGGGTGAGATAGTCCTGCACTCAGAAGAGCCAGCTGTAGTCATCCTATCTCTTATGGTGGTGGAGGCTAGGGCAGGTTGCAAAAGGCCTTTTAGGCCATGCCAAGTGTTCCCTGAAGTGAGGCTATCTCCATGGAGAACCTGAGAGAGGTGTACCCAAGCAAGAGGTGATTGCAGTGATCAGGAAACTACCAGCTGCAAGCTGGACACAGATAACCTAAGGCAAGTCAGAGCCCTCTGAGTGACTACTAAAGAAGAGAGTAAGGGAAGATGGCTTATTAGAGGTGTGCTGCTTTCACGTGTGACTGCTGCGGATCATCCACTATACGTGATTGAAAAAAATGCTGTCAAGTGACCCCAGATAGTATGTCAATGTGATGTGACTGTAAATGCAATTTTATAGTAACATCAGTAAAGTGAAGCAACTATTTTGTGTGGACATTAAGGTTAATAGGTGGGAATGTCATGAGAAGGCCTCTGACATGGAGATAGGCATAAGATGGCGTGGGGTTAAGGCCTCAGGCAGGAGAGTTGTTCTGGTAGGAAGAAGTGGGGCAGAGACTTGTATTCTTGGTACCTATAGACAGCCATTCACAAGCCCCCTTACAGAGGTATCTGCTAACAATACAACTGGATTACAGATTGGTCAGAATGAAATCCTTGTCTCTCCTCTATTTCCCATTTGTAATTTGGTGGCCATGTTCTTCTTACCCTACTTCTTTCTATAGGCTAAATATGTACAGTCATGATTATGTTCGGGAAACAAAAGCGCATGTATTGTGTTTTTGCAGAGCAGCCGGCAGGGCATTGCACACGCGATCAGTGGATGGCGGATACAATACTAGGCTCCTACAGCTCTATGTCTCTACAGATGTACAGGCTTTCAGCTGGAGGAAGCATCAATGGACTACCAGAGTAATGATCACCACACTTGTATTCCATTGAGAACTAGTCCATCTCATATGGTGGCATACAGGACATGTAGTTCATTCATTCACTGATCTCTATGAATGAATGATACAGCTGTGAGGGTGGACATGCAAAATTGAAATGTGACAGCTGCTGCAGGGGAGAAGAATTCCCACATGCTGTCACGGAGGGGCTTTTAATGAGTTGGGCAGGGGGTTGCTTAGCACAATGTTACATGTTACACGCTAAATCCAGGTAGAACATGTTGTAAAAGGTGGAGTTAGCCTTCAGGCCTCATGCACATGGGGCATCTGTTAAAGCCCCTCTGAATGCTAGAACTTGGAACATAGAAAAATGCTGCTTAAAAAAGGTGCTAAAAAAACGCACATTACATACGTGTGATTAGGTTGTCTAGCGTTTGAACGTCAATGCAATGTATTGGCCAGAATATGTTTTTATTCTGGCCACTGAAATGCATTGACACTCAAATGCTAGATGCATCTAGCGTTTATGCGCATTTAAATCTATTCCGTATTTTTTCTGCTCTTCATCTTCTCTCCTGAATGCGCCTTTAGTGGCCTTTTTTTTTTTTTAATTTCTTTTAGCCTGTAAACGTTTCTCTTCTAAATGCCTTTAAATGCCTATGTGTGCATGGAGACATAGGCTTACATAGAGTTGCTTTTACAGGCTGAAAAAAAAAAAACGCTCAACGCCTGTAAGGCATCAAGCACACAGGATGTTTTAAAAACGCTCCTCCTCTTGTCAGCAGCATTTTGGCAGAAAAAACGCCCTTTTTAAAACGTACCTAAACCTAGCTCATAGTATGTGTATTGTTCCTGTATCCCTGACTTATATCATGCCACACTTATTGATCTTTATCATCATAACCGTTATTGTTTTCTATGACTCACAGCTGCACTCTGTACCTTTTTATAATGCGGATTATATTTGAACATTTGTACGGGTCATACTATGTATCCTGCAAAACTTTAATAAAGACCTATTGAAAGTGAAAATGTATCTAACCCTAAAACCAAAAATTCGATAAATTGCAGCTTTTCTTAAATATTGTGGCAGCATTTATTTCCTTTTTTTTTTTTTTTCACCTGCTGATCCTGCAATTTCCACACATTCTGTCCTATGATAATAACCTACATGGAAGAAAAATATATTTGAAATATATTTAAAATATTCTTCCCAAATATATTGACATATATTTTAAATACTACAATTTTGGCCGTATTCAATATATTTCAATATATATATATATATATATATATATATATATATATATATATATACAGGTGAAAATTAGAATATCGTGCAAAAGTTCATTTATTTCAGTAATGCAACTTAAAAGGTGAAACTAATATATGAGATAGACTCATTACATGCAAAGCAAGATAGTTCAAGCCGTGATTTGTCATAATGGTGATGATTATGGCTTACAGCTCATGAAAACCCCAAATCCACAATCTCAGAAAATTAGAATATTGTGAAAAGGTGCAATATTCTCTTCTCAAAGTGTCCCACTCTAATCAGCTAATTAAGCCATAACACCTGCAAAGGGTTCCTGAGCCTTTAAATGGTCTCTCAGTCTGGTTCAGTAGGAATCCCAATCATGGGAAAGACTGCTGACCTGACAGTTGTGCAGAAAACCATCATTGACACCCTCCATAAGAAGGGAAAGCCTCAAAAGGTAATTGCAAAAGAAGTTGGATGTTCCCAAAGTGCTGTATCAAAGCACATTAATAGAATGTTATGTGGAAGGGAAAAGTGTGGAAGAAAAAGGTGCACAAGCAGCAGGGATGACCACAGCCTGGAGAGGATTGTCAGGAAAAGGCCATTCAAAAGTGTTGGGAACTTTCACAAGGAGTGGACTGAGGCTGGAGTCAGTGCATCAAGAGCCACCACACACAGACGGATCCTGGACATGGGCTTCAAATGTCGTATTTCTCTTGTCAAGCCACTCCTGAACAACAAAGAACGTCAGAAGCGTCTTACCTGGGCTAAAGAAAAACAGACCTGGTCTATTGCTCAGTGGTCCAAAGTCCTCTTTTCTGATGAGAGCAACTTTTGCATCTCATTTGGAAACCAAGGACCCAGAGTATGGAGGAAGAATGGAGAGGCACACGCTGCAAGATGCTTGAAGTCCAGTGTGAAGTTTCCACAGTCTGTGTTGATTTGGGGAGCCATGTTATCTGTTGGTGTTGGTCCACTGTGCTTCATTAAGTCCAGGGTCAACGCAGCCGTCTACCAGGAGATTTTGGAGCACTTCATGCTTCCTTCCGCAGACGAGCTTTATGGGGATGCTGACTTCATTTTCCAGCAGGACTTGGCACCTGCCCACACTGCCAAAAGCACCAAAACCTGGTTCAATGACCGTGGGATTACTGTGCTTGATTGGCCAGCAAACTCGTCTGACCTGAACCCCATAGAGAATCTATCGGGCATTGCCAAGAGAAAGATGAGACATGAGACCGAACAATGCAGAGCTGAAGGCCGCTATTGAAGCATCCTGGTCTTCCATAACACCTCAGCAGTGCCACAGGCTGATAGCTTCCATGCCACGCCGCATTGAGGCAGTAATTGCTGCAAAAGGGGCCCAAACCAAGTACTGAGTACATATGCATGCTTCTACTTTTCAGAGGTCCGATATTGTTCTATGTGCAATCCTTGTTTTATTGATTGCATGTAATATTCAATCTGAGATTGTGGATTTGGGGTTTTCATGAGCTGTAAGCCATAATCATCACAATTATGACAAATCACGGCTTGAACTATCTTGCTTTTCATGTAATGAGTCTATCTCATATATTAGTTTCACCTTTTAAGTTGCATTACTGAAATAAATGAACTTTTGCACGATATTCTAATTTTTCAAGTTTCACGTGTGTGTGTGTGTGTGTGTGTGTGTGTGTGTGTGTGTGTGTGTGTGTGTTTGTGTGTGTGTGTGTGTGTGTGTTTTATACTGCATGTTGAAATGCGTTTTTATTACAAAATATTTTTAATGCATTTAAAAATATATGTTAAAATTACTTTTTTTTTATATGTGAAAAAAAATCTGAAGGATATATTTAAAATATATTCTTCAGATTTTTTTAACATATAAAAAAGTAATTTTAACATATATTTTTACATATATTCCAAAAATGTAGATTTGTATTTTTAAAGACATACAGTATATTTGAAATGTATTTTTAAAAATATTTTTCATATATTTTGTAAACACATTTCACCATGCTCTATATAGAAATATATTGAATATGGCCAAAATTGTAGTATTTCAAATATATGTCAATATATTTGGGAAGAATATTTTTTAAATATATTTCAAATATAGTTTTATTCCATATGGGAATGCTCACTCACTGCATTGTATTTATAGAGGGAGCAGTGCTGTCACTTTAGACTGTTCTCCTGGTTTGGACTACAAACACATCCTCCTCTCTTTATCTCAAATATATTATGGAGAGGGGGAATTTATAGTTTCTTGTAAGAAAGATAGCATTGTTGGGGATTTCTGGTTAATTCACAGGAATTTACCAGGACTCCGAATTTCCAGTAAGATCAACAAGTAGTTTCCGTATCTGCTGAAAACGTTCTTAGCCTAAAAAAAAATGTAGCCATCATATCTAAAAAGAAAGTAAGTAATAAGTCCACCTGCGCTGCTAAGTTTACAATATATAATATAAGAACAGCTGCCAACATCCAATCCTCACCTTTTAAATGGACATATAAATATACAAATAATCAATATTGATGTAGCGCTGATATAATTAACAATAAAGTGGATTTCAACCGTGAGAAGAAAGTGAATTCGGTGTTACACAGCCCGCACAACCTCGGCACACAGTAATTCCCTCTATAGCATATAATTGCTGTTTATAAATACAAATGCAGTCCACAGTACATATAGATGCATAAACAAGTTATTAGAGGACACACATGCTTCTGTGCTCGTGCAAAGTGGTAGGTGACAATCCTTGAATGGCTAGCATGCCCGCTCACCTTCCCCCTGCGACCCACAGGGGCCAAAAAGCCTTACGGGTCACACCTTGACCCTATGCGTTATCTCCAGGTGCAAGACACTCTTCACTCTCCAGTACTCTCTCCTTCACCATCTGCTATTCCCCCTGAATAGGTACCGCTGTACATGTATTCAAAAGCTCATGGGATGGTGATAATCATGGAACAAAAACACAAAGATCCTCCATAGTGCAAAACTGTATATCACATTTATTCCATTTAAAAACCGCCAAGTTACAACTCACATTTCAGCAGATGAAAAATCGCTTGTGACACCTCTCATGGGTGTACTGAGGCACTCTGGTGTAGCAAAATGGCGCCAACCCGGAAGTGCGTCACCACGTCACTACGTCACATCTACGCGTTACGCCACGCCCCTCGTAGCTTCGTCAGGAGATCCTGACGAAGCTACGAGGGGCGTGGCGTAACGCGTAGATGTGACGTAGTGACGTGGTGACGCACTTCCGGGTTGGCGCCATTTTGCTACACCAGAGTGCCTCAGTACACCCATGAGAGGTGTCACAAGCGATTTTTCATCTGCTGAAATGTGAGTTGTAACTTGGCGGTTTTTAAATGGAATAAATGTGATATACAGTTTTGCACTATGGAGGATCTTTGTGTTTTTGTTCCATGATTATCACCATCCCATGAGCTTTTGAATACATGTACAGCGGTACCTATTCAGGGGGAATAGCAGATGGTGAAGGAGAGAGTACTGGAGAGTGAAGAGTGTCTTGCACCTGGAGATAACGCATAGGGTCAAGGTGTGACCCGTAAGGCTTTTTGGCCCCTGTGGGTCGCAGGGGGAAGGTGAGCGGGCATGCTAGCCATTCAAGGATTGTCACCTACCACTTTGCACGAGCACAGAAGCATGTGTGTCCTCTAATAACTTGTTTATGCATCTATATGTACTGTGGACTGCATTTGTATTTATAAACAGCAATTATATGCTATAGAGGGAATTACTGTGTGCCGAGGTTGTGCGGGCTGTGTAACACCGAATTCACTTTCTTCTCACGGTTGAAATCCACTTTATTGTTAATTATATCAGCGCTGCATCAATATTGATTATTTGTATATCATATCTAAAAAGCTACAATATATTAGAGGAACTGAACTGAGAAAGCTGTGCCCAAGAGAAAGGCCGGTAATGGGCATACAGCTAGTCATCACTATTGCCTGTTGTTTCCGCGAAGCTGACCTATGGACCTTATGGACTTACGATGCCTTGTTCCGCACTGCATCTCCGTGTGGAATGGCATCTTAATAGAAGCAGGGTTTTGCTTTCTCATTCAGAACCTCCAGCAAAGAGGAGAGTGATCACCACAGTAGTGGCATCACTAAATCTCACTACAGATTTCCTGGGACTAGCAGTCAGAAGCAGCAGTGCCTTAGATCCTACACTGCAGATATACAGATATGAAGCTGTGTGTATATATATATATATATATATATATATATATATATATATATATATATATAAGGTGCACTACAATATTTCAGGAGGAATTCAAGACAAAATGTCATTTTTCAGAGTACTGTTTAGGCACAATTAACTTTTCTTCACAATTAACTTCTCTATAGCAGCAAATCTTCACTTTTTGAATTCGGGTGCACCAACTTTTTGTTCTTGTGTTTAAATATTCTTTACCAGAGCCAACTTTGATACACAACTCTACAGTAAATGATTTTATGTTGTCAGCTCTGCCTGATTGTTGTTTAAACTTCATTTTCGCACCAGTCACACCTCACCAGGATGCGACCTTCCTGTGCACAGAGCCCCTTGGCCGGGTCATAGGATTCTGGATTGCTGTTGAAGATGCGACTGAACAAAATGGCTGCTTGTGGTTCATTCCTGGTTCTCATAAGGGTAAGACAGAACAAAATGGTAAATTTGCTCATTGATTCCCATATTGAAGAAAAATATATTTGAAATATATTTAAAAATATTCTTCCCAAATATATTGACAGACATTTGAACTACTGTAATTTTGACCATATTCTATATATGTATATATATATGTATATATATATACTGTATGTTAAAATGCATATTTTATATATTACAAAATATATGAAAAATATATTTTGTAAAAATATATAATTTTAAATATGTTCTTCAGATTTTTTTTAACATATAAGAAAGTAATTTTAACATATACTTGTAAATGCATTCCAAAAATGTAGATTTGTATTTTTAAAGACATACAGTATATCAGTATATTTGAAAATGTGTTTTTAAAAAATATTTTTCATATATTTTGTATTAAAAATGCATTCCAACACACAGCATGTGTATGTATATGTATGTATATATATATATATATATATATATATATTATGGCCAAAATGGTAGTATTTCAAATCTATCTCCCATTTCTGCTGCATGACAGCTGTACATTGCCTTTACCTGTGTCTGACGGTGGATAAGGTTGACCTTTTGAAGGAGTTTGTTACCATTGCTTTTAATGCGCATTTACCCCCGGTTCACATACCGTATATGCGGCTGTGTGGGACGTGTTTTGTGCAGACATGAGTGTACATTCGTTTGAATGGACTCCCGTATCCCGTGACATGCAGTGAAGAAGTCCCTGCACTACTTCTGAAAACGCATCCCGCATGGGAACCTAGGTTCCCAGTACGGCTGCGTTTTCCTGTGCAGGCGGCGTGTCATTAGAACTAATGGCACCCGCCCACGGGTCCGCATTCCTCTGTGTGGGTGGTGCGGTTGCACAGATTTTCGTGCGGATCTGCAGCGGCACCACCCACACATATGTGAACCAAGCCTTAATATGCGCTTCTGGTGAGTGCATTAGAAGGAAGAATTTGTCACGGATTCACCTTTCACATCTTTTTGATTTTTTTGATACAATTGATTAGTCTTTGATTTTGTTTTGAGTTGCTATATTTGTTGACCTGTTCACTGCAGTCACGATATAGAGATATTTGTCACCATTGCACTGCATTTTAGCACTACACTATATTTGCTTATTCATTTTTGCTTTTCTGTTTATCACCGTAAAGCTGGTATAGAGCGCTTCACCAATATCATATTATATATATATTTTTTCGCTGTTTGTTCACTCAAGTCACCATCTATTTATTTTATGTATAAGAACGCTACAGTGTTGAGAGATATTTTCATTGTCATATGTAATTTTCACTAGCACTGCACTTTGTTCTCATCTATTGTTAACCTTTAACTTGCGTTTTATGTGTGCTTTAACTAGTGTTTGTTTTTTTGTTTCTAACCAGCTGGAATTTCACGTCTCATGGTGCGCACATCGCCGGGCACGATCCCTTGCACAAAGTTCATTGGAGAAGAGCCAAACTATAATGAAGAACTGTTTGTGCCTGCTCCAGTGCCAAAAGGTGATTCCATTCATTTCAAATATGGCTACATGGTTACGTTAAAAACAGATTCACATCCATTGTGTAGATCTCTCCATCTTCAGTAGTATGGCTTCAGTGGAAGGTAAAACAAAATATCCCAGGGAGCTATGATTAATTCTTTCTCCTAAGCATAAAAAAGCTGTCTCTAGGGCCACAAAAACAGTCATGTCCCCTCTTTAATAACATTGTCATTCATTATTCTGTTTTTTTTTTTTTTGTTATATTATGCAGTTTTACATTAAAATACAAGTGTACAGGGGTTAGACAAAAAAAAAAATAAACACTACGTGATTTGCAGGGTTGAAAGTGAAGACATGTTTCCGCTGTGTGATGAGACACCTAGGTAACAAGTTGGAAGCCTCACTTTCGTCATTCACTTTGTGCGCTGCTAGTAATACAGAGTAATGTCAGAGCTTACTGAACATCAAAGAGGGCAAATTGCTGTTGGCGGCCTAGCTGGTGCCTCTGTGACTGAAGTTGTAAAGTTATTTGCCGTGTCTAGAGATACATTATCAAAGGTTATGACGGCATATACAGTTTCCAGGAAACCGCTGTGTGATAAGCATAAGCGCGGTAGACATGGTTAACTGACCGAAAGAGACAAAATAACATTGTGCAGGATTGTGACCTGGAATAAGAAATCAGCTGCTGCAAAAGTGACTGTAGAGCTCAATCCCAGTCTTCATGGGACTGAGATTGAGCTCTGCAGTCACTTTTGCGGCAGCTGTTTTTTTATTTTGGGTCACAATCCTGCGCAATGTCCTTTTGTTTCTTTCGGTCAGTTGACCATTTCGACCGTGATTATGCTTATTAGACGACGTTTTCTTCAAGACTGTGTATGCCGTCATAACCTTTGATACTGTACTTCGAGACATGGCAAATAAATTGACAATTTCAGTCACGGAGGCACCAGCTAAGCAGGCACCAACAATTTGATGTCTTTGAAGCTCAGTAATCTCTGACATGACTCCGTATTACTAGCAGCGCGCGCAGTGAATGATGAAAATGAGGCTTCCTACCTGTTAACTAGGTGTCTCCTCACACAGCAGAAGCAAAAGAATATTCATTCACTTTTGCTTTCAACACTAAAGCATGTTGTCACTTTCACACCTGCAAATCATGTAGTGTTTCCATTTTTTTTGTCTAACCCTTGTTCTTGTAACCACTTGCCTACCAGGCACTTATACCCCCTTATTTACCAGGCCAATTTTCAGCTTTCAGCACTGCCGCACTTTGATTGACAATTGCGCGGTCATGCAACATTGTACCCATATGAAATTTTGATCATTTTTTTCTCACAAATAGAGCTTTCTTTTGGTGGTATTTAATCGCCACTGGGCGCTTTACTTTTTTGCGCTATAAATAAAAAAAGTGCAAAAAAATTGCAAAAAAAAAAAAAAAAGTTTCTTTGTTTCTGTTATAAAATTTTTCAAACAGGTATTTTTTCTCCTTCACTGATGTGCGTTGATGAGGCAGCACTGATGGGCACTGATAGGCGGCACTGATGGGCACTGATAGGCAGCACTAAAGGGCACTGATAGGCAGTACTAATGAGGTGGCACGGATAGGCGGCACTGATAGACAGCACTAATGAGGTGTCACGGATAGGCGGCACTAATATGCAGCACTGATAGGCGGCACTGATAGGTGACACTGATGATGGGTACTGATAGACGGCACTGACTGGCATCACAGCTGGGCACTGACTGGCGACACTGACTGGCACAACCCCTGGGCACTGACTGGTGGCACTGACTGGCAGCACTGCTGGGCTGCACTGGTGGGCAGCACTGGTGGGTGGGCACAGGTGGGTGGCACTGGTGGGCACAGGTGGGTGGGCACAGGTGGGTGGCACTGCTGGGCACAGGTAGGTGGCACTTCTGGGCACAGGTGTGTGACACTACAGAGTGGCACAGGTGGGTGGCACTGCTGGGCACAGGTAGGTGGCACTTCTGGGCACAAGTGTGTGACACTGCAGAGTGGCACAGGTGGGTGCACTGCTGGGCACAGGTGGGCGCACTGCTGGGCACAGGTGGGCGGAACTTGCGGGTGGCACTGCTGGGCACCGATCATCAGGGCACTGATGATCAGTGCCCTGATGATCGGTGCCGATCCCCACTCTGACAACTGCCGGTTCTCGGCAGTACTTTCCTCACGATCTGACAGCGTGAGGAAAGTGCAGCTGAGAGAACCGGCACTTGCATTTCCCTCTGATCAGCGTGTCATTGGACACCGCTGATCACGTGGTAAAAGACCGCTGTGATTGGCCTTTTACCACATCACGTGATCAGCTGTGTCCATAGGACACAGCGATCACGGAGATCGCCGGGTGCGCACCCGTTCTGGGAGGACGTCATATGACGTCCACTCAGAACTGGCCGGCCGCAGTGTAGCCGTCATTCGGCTATCTGCGGTCGGCAACTAGTTAATGAACAGCTTGCTATGTTCAATTCTTACCTTGCTCCCCATTTCAATGATTTTCACTGCGGGTCCCTGCATTAATACATTTCTCTATTAGATGCATAATTGTATTTTGTATTTCAATGGTTTTTATTAATTTGTAAACATTTCAGCAAGACTCGAGCGACAAGACACGCCCACGCGGGGGCTATCTATGGCACATAAAAAATAAAGAAAACAGTGCTCTAACACCAACAGAGCAAAAGTTGCGCCCATGCAGGGGCTACCAATGGCAAATAAATTACAAAAACAGTGATATAACACCGACAGTAGCTCAAGCATAATTGTATTTTATGTATGCCTTATTTACAGCTGAAGTTCTTTGCAAATCTCTACTCTTTCTTAAAAAAATAACTTGGCCATATCACCTGATTTTTCGTATTGGTTCCATAATATGATGGGTGAGAGAGTTGAGCTTTGTACATAAGTTTAACTGCTTGAAATCCTGGATCTGACAATCCTGCTGATGTAATTTTTGTGACAGTAAAGAGGTTTGAGAACCACCAAAACTGGTTCAGTGGTACTCTTATCCTGTTTAAATTTTTAGTTAATTTTAAAGTGGAATTCCAGGCTATATCTAGTTTAGCTCCCTTGTCCTAAAAGGGGGCTACTAGCCTAAATTTAATTTTTGGCTGGGTTGTAGTCAACTCTGACTGATTGTTTAGTTCACATTTGGTTTTTCCCTAAGCTTACTGGGCTTGTGATTTCTCACTGTCGCCTGTAGGTGTCACTGGCATCACTGGTCATAGTATGAGATTTCAAAACAAGTCTGGGTAATGAATATTTATATTTCCTTCAGCCAATCCAGTAAGAGGTTTAGGTCACTGCTGCATGCTGGGGAGGATATACAGTTGCAAGAAAAAGTATGTGAACCCCTTGGGATTACGTGGAGTTTTGCATGAATTGGGCATAAAATGTGCTCCGATCGTCATCTAAGTCACAACAATAGAAGAACACAGTCTGCTGAACATAATACTACACAAACATTAGATGTTGCCATGGTTTAATTGCACATAACATGTAAACATTCACAGTGCAGGGAGGAAAAAGTATGTGAACCTTTGGCCTTAATAACTGGTTGACCCTCCTTTGGCAGCAATAACCTCAACCAAACATTTTCTGTAATTGCAGATCAGACCTGCACAACGATCTGGAGTCATTTTGGACCACTCCTCTTCACAAAACTGTTTCAGTGTAGCAATATTCTTGGGATGTCTGGTGTGAATCGCTCTCTTAAGGTCATGCCACAGCATTTCAATCGGGTTGAGGTCAGGACCCTGACTGGGCCACTCCAGAAGGCGTATTCTGTACTCTTGCAGCCATTGTTTTGTTGAATTACTTGTATGCTTTGGGTCATTGTCCTGTTGCATCACCCATCCTCTGCGGAGCTTCAGTTGGCGGACAGATGGTTGTACGTTTTCCTGCAAAATGTCTTGATAAACTCTGGAATTCATTTTCCCATCAATGACAACAATCCATCCAGGCCCTGAGGCAGCAAAGCAGCCCCAAACCATAATGCTCCCTCCGCCATGTTTCACAGTGGGGATGAGGTTTTGATGTTGGTGTGCTGTGCCTTTTTTTTTTCCCCACACATAGTGTTGTGTGTTCTTCCCAAACAACTCAATCTTGGTTTCATCTGTCCACAGTATATTTTGCCAGTAGTGCTGTGGAACATCCAGGTGCTCTTTTGCAAACTTCAAACGTGCTGCAATCTTCTTTTTGGACAGCAATGGCTTCCTCCGTGGTGTCCTCCCATGTACTCCATTCTTGTTTAATGTTTTCCTTATTGTAGGTGTGTCAACAAAAATGTTAGCATGTGCCAGAGATTTCTGTAGGTCTTTAGCTGACACTCTGGGATTCTTCTTTACCTCATGCAGCATTCTGCGCTGTGTTCTTGCAGTCATTTTTACAGGACGACCGCGCCTAGGGAGAGTAGCAACAGTGCTAAACTTTCTCCATTTGTAGACAGTCTGTCTTACCGTGGACACATGAACATCAAGGCATTTGGAGATACTTTTGAAACCCTTTCCAGCTTCATGCAAGTCAACAATTCTTGATGGTAGGTCTTCTGAGAGCTCTTTTCTGAGAGGCATGGTTCACATCACACAGTGCTTCTTGAAACCAGTAAACTCAAAACAGGTGTGTGTTTTTTAAGGGCAGGACAGCTGTCGGCAACACATCCAATATCATCACACTGATTGGAGTCAAGGTTGGCTCACTCCTGGCTCCAATTAGCTCTGGGAGAAGTCATTAAGCTAGGGCCTCACATACTTTTTCCTCCCTGCACTGTGAATGTTTACATGTTATGTGCAATTAAACCATGGCAACATCTAATGTTTGTGTAGTATTATGTTCAGCAGACTGTGTTCTTCTATTGTTGTGACTTAGATGACATTCAGAGCACATTTTATGCCCAATTCATGCAAAACTCCAAGTAATCCCAAGGGGTTCACATACTTTTTCTTGCAACTGTAAATATTTGGGACAGACCATGCGCTTGCTCTCTTCCCCTGGGCTGAGGCCTGGGGAGGTGCTCCCGGATAGAGTTCTGCTCTTAGGTCCACTAGGCTGTTTAGGGCCTAGCATGTGCGCAAGTGGCCCTGAAGCTGTCCTGCCTGGTGTGTAGGAAGCTGTGCCAAGGAGAAGATCCAGGAGAGGCCCCCTTATTGGAGAGAGTCAGGAAGAAGGCCGGTCTCTTAGAAGGGTCTGGTAACTCATTTGGATTTTGAACTAATTTTGGAATGTACTTACAGTGTTGTTGGTTTGACTCATAGGTTCTGACACTGTGAAGCTGGACATATATTTGGAGAGTATGTAAATGATGTACATGGAATCTGGGACACCTAACCCATACCTGCTTACCCATTCTGCAATAAAACTCTAAAAAGACAGAGGTGAATGATGCCCAACATTCTTTCTCAGTCCTGCATTTTAGCCATGGACTCAGGCCTAGAGTGAATGCTAGCCCACCTCCTGCCCCTAGAGATGTCGTCCTGCCTTTGGGGTGTCAGAGGGGGTGCTACACTAATCTTAAAACTGCCCTCAACACCTATGCTGACTAACCTGTGTAAGAAAGGCTGCTCCGCTTCAGCCCACCCTGGTCTAGTCATATGATCTCCCCTGTATCATCCAACAGCATCTGCAGGAAAGAGAACACTCAGCAACAGCTAGTAAAGCCTGGAGCAGTGATGTCACCCATAGGTTTCAGTGAGCCATCCTTTGTTGGGTCTCCCACCTCTCCCTCCATTGTTGGGTCTCCCACCTCTCCCCTGTAGCTGCCACTGGCTGACACAAGGGAGCGGGATCACATGATTGGACTGGAGCAGCCTGAAAAAGGTAAGTATTTACATCTTTCATACACAGGTTAGTCTGCATAGTTGTTAGGAGGGGGGATGGAGCCGTTTTAGGATTAATTTGGTATAGCCTGGAATTCCACTTTAAAGCGGAACTACACTGCATCTGAACACCACCAACCAAAAGCTCTGTTTTAATTCATTTTTAATATTCAAAGCAAACTCACCCATCTATCCACATCTCCATGCTTTATTTTGCTGAGAAATTTCTTAGACAACCCCTATCAGTTCTGGCCATGGCCATCTTTAGTAAGGGCAGATGATTCATGTAGGCAGTAGGTAAGAAAAAACCAAAAAACCTTTCAAATCGCTTTATTATTGGTATTGCAGATATTGTGAATGGTTTGTATTACTGGTAAAACATCCTGGCAGTTGTTTATGTGTAACAGGTTAACTGCATAGTTAAAGCAGAACTCTGGTGAAAATTTTTATTTTCCCATACAGTGGGGCTGTGCCCGCACTGCATAGGTTAGCTGATCGTTTTGTCTAGGGGCTCAGGGATAAGCTGTACTTACCCTGTCCTCTGATCCACCGGAAAACTGTACTCCCCCACGTCCAGTGGTGGACTGTCTATGCCAGCAATGGGCAAACTACGCCCCGGCAGCCCTGTTAATCCGGCCCGCGGAGCGTGATACTGTCAGGATGGCTGTCAGGCTGTGTGTAGGTGGGGCAGCGTGACGAACGTGTGGGGAGCTAGGCTCCTCTCAAGGTCCGCCCTGAAGACCGGAACGACGCGGGAACACGGGGAGAGGAACGCGCGGAGCAAAGGTAAGTAAATTGACACGGGGGACTTGGGGACTTAATATGGGGGATTAATTAATATGGGGAATGAATTACTATGGGGGGATGAATTACTATATGGGGGATGAATTACTATGGGGGATGAATTACTATATGGGGGATGAATTACTATGGGGGATGAATTACTATATGGGGGATGAATTACTATGGGGGATGAATTACTATATGGGGGATGAATTACTATATGGGGGATGAATTACTATGGGGGATGAATTACTATATGGGGGATGAATTACTATGCTTACTATGGGGGAATATTACTATACTTACTATGGATGACACTTACACATCATACACATCATTCATCTACTCTTGGTCTGGCCCCCGGGTCCAATATATGAACCCATTGCGGCCCTCAAGTCAAAAAGTTTGCCCACCCCTGGTCTATGCTGTCCTCACATCAGGAACAACCCATGCAAAAGTCAGTTTACATATATTTTTTACATATATTTGTAAATGTAATAAAATATACTGTTTGTCTTTAAATATACAAATCTACATTTTTGGAATACATTTACAAATATATGTAAAAATATATGTAAAATTACTTTTATATGTTAAAAAAATCTGAATATATTTTAAAAACATATATTTTTAAAAATATATTTGTAAATGCATTTCAAAAATTTAGATTTGTATTTTTAAAGACATACAGTATATATGAAATGTATTTTTAAAAATATTTTTCATATATTTTGTAATAAAAACGCATTTCAACATGCAGTATATATATTTATTGAAATATATTTTGAAATACTGTCTTATGGAGCAAATATGGAGCGGACGGTCCGGTATTTATGCCACCGCCACCGTGTCGGAATACCGGGCCGGCTGCTCAGCTCTCCTCTGCAGCAGGACCTTACCCGTTCCTCGTTCCAGCGCTGTGCAGTCTTCTCGCTGTGCTTTGTGAATGGTCCGGCGTCTTCTGGGACACATGACAGGTCCCAGAAGACGCCGGGCTATTCACAAAGCGCAGCGCTTCTCGCGCATGCGCAGTGGGCACCCGGCACAGGCGGGTCCCCGCACTAAAGAGAGGACAACTCCACGGAAGTGGGAGCAGGTACCTGTCAAATTCAGGTACCCACTCCCCTCCCCAAAGGTCCGCAGTCTCTTGGTTATCCCCTGTACTGTCTGCAGTCTCTGGTCATCTGTACTGTGTCTGCAGTCTCTGGTCATCCCCTGTACTGTCTGCACTCTCTTGGTCATCCCCTGTACTGTGTCCGCAGTCTCTGGTCATCTCCTGTACTATGTCTGTGGTCATCCCCTGTACTGTGTCCGCAGTCTCTGGTCATCCCCTGTACTGTGTTCCGAAGTCTCTGGTCATCTCCTGTACTGTGTCCGCAGTCTCTGGTCATCTCCTGTACTGTGTCCGCAGTCTCTGGTCATCTCCTGTACTGTGTCCGCAGTCTCTGGTCATCCCCTGTACTGTGTTCCGAAGTCTATGGTCATCTCCTGTAGTATGTCCGCAGTCTCTGGTCATCCCCTGTACTGTGTCCGCAGTCTCTGGTCATCCCCTGTACTGTGTCCGCAGTCTCTGGTCATCCTCTGTACTGTGTTCCGAAGTCTATGGTCATCTCCTGTAGTATGTCCGCAGTCTCTGGTCATCTCCTGTACTATGTCTGCAGTCCATTGGTTCAGAATATTTTTTTTCTTGTTTCTCTCCTCTAAATCCTAGGTGCGTCTTATGGTCAGGTGCGTCTTATGTAGCGAAAAACACAGTATATTGAATACGGACAAAATTGTAGCTTTTCAAATATATGTCAATATATTTGGGAAGAATATTTTTAAAATATATTTTCTTCCATATGGGATGACACCGCTGTTGTCACAATTTTTAGTAAAGGCCACCATCTGCTCTTGTATTTTTCTCACCATTTGCTCATCAATAGTCCAGGTTTGCCACAATTTTGGAAAGAAATTTGGTATCTGTTTCACTGATTGCAAAGGGAATGATATTGAAATAAACATGCGTGACTTTAAACTTACTGTTCTTATGTCCAGGAAGCTTAGTGCTGATCCAAGGAGAGGTTGTCCACAAAAGTGAGCTGAACACTTCCTCAGACTCTCGCCATGCCTACTCCTTCCATGTTATGGAATCAGAAAACACCACGTGGAGTTCAGAGAACTGGTAAGATCCTTATAGTGTAACAAAACTATTAAGGCTGTTTCATTTGTTTTAGTAAGTCAAGCTTGCTTGTCTTTTACTTGCCTGATCTGCCTAGATCTTAGCTACGCATCCTTCTCAGGGTCACACTCTGCTTCCCAGTCATCAGAGGGGCAAAGCTGTCAGTGACATCCAGGTTTCAAAGTGTAATCCGCTAACTATAATGGGATGAGTTAGATTAGAACATCCTTAAAGCGGAGCTCCACCCAAAAGGGGAAATTCTTCTTTAAGGCCTTATCCCCCTGCTCCCCGTTAAGGATTGGAATCTTGGGGGAGTGGGTACCTAATTTTGACAGGTACCTTCTCCCACTTCTGCTGCGATCGCCTAGGCGATCGGAAGCAGAAGTTGTCCTCCCTCTCCGTAGTCTTCTGGGACACGTGACAGGTCCCAGAGGACTATGGGACAAATGACAAAAGCGCAGCACTACTCGCGCATGCGCAGTAGGTTACCTGGCTGTGAAGCCTCAAGCTGTCACAGCTGGGTGACCACACTGACGATGCGGGCACCGGGGAGAGAGGGCAGCCAGTGAAACCGGCTGCTGTGAGCACACTGCTGGATCGAAGGACAGGTGAATGTCTGTTTTTAAAAGTCAGCAGCTACAGTTTTTGTAGCTGCTGACTTATTTTTTGACTGGTGTCTCGCTTTAAGTAGGGTACACACTATGAGAAATTCAGAAGAAAAATTCTGCACGAGGACCAATCGTTCGATTTTCATATAGTGAGTACTGTTTTGTTTGAGTTGATTGTAGCCGTATTAGTGCATTTGCGAAAGCTTGTCCTCAAAATTGTATGTTAGTGCAAATAAAAAAAGTATCACGGACAATACTCAATTGTTTCTGTCATATAGTGAGTACACAACTTTTGACATATGATTCAGACTTTCCAAACTAAAGTTTCTGAGGGGAAAAACTCTCTAGTTAAAGAAGAGTTCCAGCTGCAAAGAAAAAGCCAGCAGCTACAACAATTGTAGCTGCTGACTTTTAAAATACAGACACTTACCTGTCCCTTGGTCCAGTGGTGTCCTCACCACCGCTGGTTTCACCGGTCGTCTTCTCTCCCTGGCGCCGGCATCTTTAGTGTGGGCACCCGGCTGTGAAAATTTGCGGCTTCACAGCCGGGTGCCCACTGCGCATGCGCTTTGTGAATGGCCCCGTAGTCTTCTGGGACCTGTCACGTGTCCCAGAAGACTATGGGGAGGGAGAGGGAGGACAACTTACGCTTCCGATCGCCTAGGCAATCGCAGCGGAAGTGGGAGTGGGTACCTGTCAAATTCGGGTACCCACTCCCCCCAGGTGCCAATCCTTAATGGAGAGCAGGAGACAAAGCATTAAAGCGGAATTTCCCCTTTTTGGTGGAGCTCCGCTTTAAATGATAACATACAGCAGCATACATCTGCACTCTCTAAGTTTGCTGGTTTTCTTTAAGTTTTCTACCTGTCTTCTCCGTGCAAGTTCAAGTTCAAATCTCCCTATTCTCTTCAGTTTTTAGGGTGAGTCCAGGGTTCCCCAGAGTCCCCCCTTACGAGTGCATTTCACATGCGCAGGCAGTGAATGCCATGAAAGGCTAAACTCCCCCTCCAGGGACTGACAAGCTGCTCTGAGTAGGACCAGGTGAACCCCAAAGGTGGTAATTTGTGCACCTTGCATTAATGGCACAAGGGACAGTATTATGGCTGCATGCAATCATAAAAATGTGCATTTATTATTTTTGTCCAAAAGTTGAACTTATCCTTTAACTGAACAAGCTGAAGTTGGAAGCTGATTGGCTATCGTGCACAGCTGCACCAGATTCCAAGTACTAAAGTTTTAGTAAATCTCCCCCATGGAGTCCTCACAGTAATAACTTATCCTTTATTGATCAGACAACCTAAACCTCAAAGCAAGCTATTTTAAGAAATAACAGGAAATTTGTGAAAGTGAGTGTGAAGCGCCTTCTGCTGGCTGAAAATAAGAATACAAATACTTATATAATACAATATACAATATAATACACATATGCAATGTTGACCTAATGTTTTCAACCTTTCAATTGTGCCGGATGCCTATTCTGAGAAGTATTTGATTTTTTTTTTTTCTGTAAACTTTCTTTTGTCCAGGTTGCAACCAACTGCGGAACTACCATTTCCATCTTTGTACACATGACATGAACTCCGGAGGAGGATTTATTAGACCAGTCCTCACTGCCATGAGAAAGGGAACCTTCGCTATTACCTTTAATTGCCATAAAAAGTATTATCTATTGTATATTTTTCCCAGTAATCAGTGAAAAGAAATTAAGAATACTCTTGTCACTTAATGCTTCTGCCATTCCTTTCTTCTTGCCATGGAAACAAAAATGGACAAACACCGGTTATCTCAAAAGTGTTTTTTTATATTGAAAAAAAAGGTAGTTTGATTTGTTCTTGTGGATTTTTTACATCTTCAAAGAAAAATCAACATTTTTAAAATCAAAATTTATATTACTTTTTTCTTAACATTGTATAGGTTTTTTATTATACACAATACTGAAGAAATAAATTAAGATTTACATTAATGATTGCACATTAAAAAAATAAAAGCAAAAATGCAGATTGTACATTTAGGTATAGAAATCAGCCCCGGATTTAAATTTTGGCTGTTTAGCACAAGCTTGGCAATGAAAGCTTTTGTCTGTTTATTATAATTTAACCCAAAATTCTGCCTCTAAATGTACATACATTAAAAAATGAACCAGAAAAAGATATAGACTACATGAATAATGCTGAAATATAAAAAGGTGACTTCACCCAGGGGTGTCATACTGGTATTGGATGGATTCTACAGGCTGAATCACTGCCAGCTTCTACTGTTTCTACGATACTCCAAGAGAAAAGCAGTTTGACTCCACTCCTGTTCAGTTTAAAGAATATGTAAACCCAACATCTCATATTCCTGATATGTGCCTGCTGTACCATGTACTTGTATGAAAAGGTATCCGTTTTCTTTGTATTGCTTTCTTTGTGTGAAATCCCTGGTGTTCCTGCCAGACCCTTTCCTATTAAAAACTGACCACACTAGGCAATAAGAGCACACCGTGGTCAGTTCTCTAGCTATGCTGGGAACTCAACCTGCTCTCCTCCAAGGATCAGGTTTGTCTTGACAACCTCCCCCTCACCTGCACAGCCTTTCAGTGGAAGACCAGTATACTGCTGTTTCTCCACAGTCACCTCTCTATGCAGCTGAAAACAGAAGGTATGTAATCACTTATAAAAAAAGGAAAAAAGGTATTTATAATGTTTTTGTATCTATACACAAATGATTTACCTTTAATTTCCATTTTCAACTGAATGGGTTGTTTTGCAAGGTAAGGGTTTACATATACTTTAAAACTGAACTCTAACTCTATGCTAAAAAAATTCACCTTGCAGGGGGGGGGGGTCATTCAGTCTAGAGCAGCGGTTCTCAACCTGGGGGTCGCGACCCCTTTGGGGGTCGAACGACCATTTCCCAGGGGTCGCCTAAGACCATCGGAAAACACATATTTCCGATGGTCTTAGGAACCGAAGACACCGCTGCAGTCTCCGGCGATGTGTGGGCGGGATGAACGCTGCCGTCACCTGGCCACACCTCCGGGATCGCTCAGCAGCTCCGCCTCCTCGCCGCTGATTGGCCACCGGAACTGTAGCTCAGGAGAGGCACACAGGCGGCCAATCACCGCGAGGAGCGAGGAGGTGGGAGCTTGGAGAGGAGGAGCCGAGCGGCAGCCGCGCGTACATCAAAGAAGACCGATGGGAGCTGCCGGAGCGAGAGAAGAGGAGATCGGCCAGAGAAGGAAGACAGCTGACAGGTAAGTGAGAGAGAGCGAGCCCAGGCTGGAGCAGGGGTCAGCAAAGTAAGTATCATTGGTGTCAGTGGGAGGAATAGTGCCCCATCATTTGTGTCACTAATACCAACGATGGGGCACTATTCCTCCCCCCACTGACACCAACGATGGGGCACTATTCCTCCCCCCACTGACACCAACGATGGGGCACATATTCCTCCCCCCACTGACACCAACGATGTGGCACTATTCCTCCCCCCACTGACACCAACGATGGGGCACTATTCCTCCCCCCACTGACACCAACGATGGGGCAATATTCCTCCCCCCACTGACACCAAACGATGGGGCACTATTCCTCTCCCCCCCCCACTGACACCAACGATGGGGCACTATTCCTCCCCCCACTGACACAACGATGGGGCAGTATTCCTCCCCCCACTGACACCAACGATGGGGCAGTATTCCTCCCCCCACTGACACCAACGATGGGGCACTATTCCTCCCCCCACTGACACCAACGATGGGGCACTATTCCTCCCCCCCTGACACCAACGATGGGGCACTATTTCCCCCCCCCCGCCCTGACCCCAATGATGGGGCACTATTCTCCCCTCCACCACACTGACATCAATGATGGGGCACTATTCCTCCCACTGACACCAATGATGGGGCACTATTTCCTCCCCCACTGACACCAACGATGGGACATTATTTCCCCCCCCCCCCCTGACCCCAACGATGGGGCACTATTCTCCCCTCCACCACACTGACATCAATGATGGGGCACTATTCCTCCCACTGACACCAATGATGGGGCACTATTCCTCCCACTGACACCAGTGATGTGGCACTATTCCTCCACTGACACCAGTGATGGGGCACTACTCCCACTGACACCAGTGATTACTTAACCCCCCACTGACACCAATGATGGGGCACTACTCCCCCCCACTGACACCAATGATGGAGCACTACTCCCCCCACTGACACCAGTGATGGGGCACTACTCCCCCCACTGACACCAATGATGGGGCACTACTCCCCCCACTGACACCAATGATGGGGCACTACTCCCCCCACTGACACCAATGATGGGGCACTACTCCCCCCACTGACACCAATGATGGGGCACTACTCCCCCCACTGACACCAATGATGGGCACTACTCCCCCCCCACTGACACCAATGATGGGGCACTACTCCTCCCGACTGACACCAGTGATGTGGCACTATTCCTCCCACTGGACACCAGTGATGGGGCACTACTCCTCCCACTGACCACCAGTGATGGGGCACTACTCAGACCCAGTGATGGTGCCCTACTCCCCACTGACAAGTGATGGGGCACTACTCCCCCCACTGACACCAACGATGGGGCACTACTCCCCCCACTCACCAACGATGGGGCACTACTCCCCCCACTGACACCAACGATGGGGCACTACTCCCCCCACTGACACCAACGATGGGGCACTATTCCTCCCACTGACTCCAACGATGGGGCAACTTCACTGACACCAACGATGGGGCACTATTCCTCCCACTGACACCAACGATGGGCACTATTCCTCCCACTGACACCAACGATGGGGCACTATTCCTCCCACTGACACCAACGATGGGCACTATTCCTCCCACTGACACCAACGATGGGGCACTATTCCTCCCACTGACACCAACGATGGGGCACTATTCCTCCCACTGACACCAACGATGGGGCACTATCCTCCCACTGACACCAACGATGGGGCACTATTCCTCCACAGACACCAAACGATGGGGCACTATTCCTCCCACTGACACCAGTGATGGGGCACTATTCATCCCACTGATACCAACGATGGGGCACTATGCATCCCACTGACATCAGTGATGGGGCACTATGCATCCCACTGACACCAGTGATGGGGCACTATTCCTCCCACTGATACCAACGATGGGGCAACTACTGATACCAACGATGGGGCACTATTCCTCCCACTGATACCAACAATGGGGCACTATTCATCCCACTGACATCAGTGATGGGGCACTATTCCTCCCACTGAACCAATGACATGGCACTACTCTCCCACTGCAAAATTACAGTTATGAAGTAGCAATGAAAATAATTTTATGGTTGGGGGTCACCACAACATGAGGAACTGTATTAAGGGGTCGCGGCATTAGAAAGGTTGAGAACCACTGGTCTAGAGGGTGGGGAATAAATATAATACCTTATTCCTCACTCCCCTCGGCAACCAGTGGTCTGCTCTTCAATGCTCCTGGCATACTGTATTGCATGTGTTGACATTGGAGAACTGAGACCAGTTGAGTGGCTTCCAGAGCCGGTTGTACAGTAGGGAGGAAGCCTATGAGTGCAAGAAGTAGGGTAATTCACCTTAATCCTATCCCCTTAGAATAAGCAGTTAGCCCCACTTGATGGAACCCCCACTGCAAGAATTAATTAAGATAGACACTTGGACATTGATCCAAAATGGCTGTGGCCTGAAGTACATGGACGTGGTTTAACATAAACCAATAATAAGTAAAATCAAACAATCAACAAAAGCAAAAGGTATTCCTTGTCATCCCATAAAGAAAAAACACTGCCTCTCAGTAGCTCAAGGCATAACGCCACGCCTCCGTGTGTGAATGGACACACGGAGTAGCGGTTTCCCCCATAGCAATCTGCTTGCTATGGGGGCACCCAACAGAAAGGAGGAGCCAGGTGAGCCTGCGGGGGACCCAAGAAGAGGAGGATCCAGGCAGCTCTATGCAAAACCATAACACAGAGCAGGCAAGTATAACATGTTTGTTTTTTTACAAAACAAAATAAAAAAATTAACCTTTAGTATCGCTTTAACTTTAGAATAGATCAGATGTGGTGCCTTAGACTTTGCCTAATTTGTACATCAGTGAATGTAACCCTGAGTGTTCCAAAACGACATAATCATATTTACACTGGCCATAGTTACTGAAATAATTGTGTTGTGATCAAACTTGTTCGATAAAGCAATACAAGTGCAGTAACCCATAGCAACTAGACTAGATCTGCTAGAATTTATGCTGTACCATTATGGAGAAGACGGATTGTTTGCTGTATATCTGCAAATACGGCAAAAGTCTTCATCTGTGAATATTCTTATTTCTTTTTCCAACAAATGTTATCTGACCTGTACTGGGCTGTCAATAAAACCTCTAGATATACATAGGCCATATATAGTCATACAGAAGTTATAACCTTGTTACATTTTCCCTAAAATTCACTGCCTTGGTTCAATGTCAATGGGGGCAAAAGAAACTAAAGGGAAGAATTTGTACAGTTATCCCAGTAGGCCTGGACTACGAGATAACAGCCAACCTCTTATGTTCTGCTTCTTGTCTAACACAGATTTTCATATTGTTAATGCTGATGTAGACTGGATTCGCTTATAAGCACTGCGAGTTGCATTCCCCTAAAATATGAACAGATATCATTAGGCCACGTTTCACACGGGTGTACGCCAATGTGAGGGGCATGTTTGTCCGCACAGGGATGCACAGCTGGTCAGTGCATCCCCATGCAGGCAGTCCCACTGATGTCAACTGGGACACAGCCGCTACTCCCCAAGTTAAGTAAACTGTGTGTACAAGGCCTTAAAGTATATCTAAAGGTCATACTTTTTTTTTTTAGCTTTGGATAGAGTGGAGATGAATTAGAACACCTGTTATGTTTTTATTGCTGCTGTGTGGTCCCCCCCATTAGCGTGATTCCCCCTCTCCATTTGTCCTGTTCATTGTTTTCACAGGTAAAACAAGTGAAAGTAAAAGAAAATCCCAAATGTTGGTTGTCCCCCAGAACAGTAATAAAGGATACATCTTCCAATGAAGAGACTAGTTCTGGTGACAACCAGGGATTTCCTCACTTACAGGGATTTTCTCTCATTTCCTGTCTTGGCTATAGGACAGGAAGGGATGTGTCCTCAATGGGACACAGATGACATAAAAAAAAAAAAAAAAAAACCTGACGGTTAAAACCTTCCCCTATACCATCCAAAATGAAAAGTTTTCAAAATGTGTGACCAGGCAGGTTTTTTTTAAATGATAAAAGAGATTTCTAAGTTCCTTTTGCAATAAATATTTTTTACCTCTCTGTTTGCAATCTTCTTTACAATATACAAAATCTGCTTTGCCCAGCTCAGTGTACAATTGCAGCATCTGCCAGGATGAATGCATATGTCATCCCAACATGGCCAAGGATCCAAAACCTGGAAGACGACCAGGCAAAGATGGCAATGTTGATGTGGTAGCTTTGTGACCATCACATCACTGAAAGATATGCGAGTATAGTTCCACTTTAAGCCTTCATGCACACAGGGTGTTTTTGCAACCACTTTTAGGGCCTTTTTTTAAATTTTATTTTTAATTTTTAATGACTTCCAAACACTCCATGTTATCCTTTGTACAAGCACACGAAGATTTTAGTAGCAGGGGTGTTTACCAGCAGGAGAAAGAAATTGAGGGCCAGTGCATCCAGAGCAGCAGCTTTTTGGCAGAAAACGTGCCTAAATGTGTGTTAAAGCTAGGCGAGTTAATTAATTTTCAATTTATTCTGCCCAAACAAAATGAATGCCCAACGTTAGACACTTTTACAAGCGTCAGGCATTTTTTCTGTCAAATCGCTGCTGCTAAGAGGAGGAGCGTTTTTAAAATGCCCTGTGTGCATGAGGCCTAAGCAATTACCTGGCTGATAGCTGTGGGGAATGCTCTTTTCCTTTCATTCCAGTTTTATTAAAAGAAACACAACCTTTGTAGCTCTAATTTTATCTCATTTTCTTGGATGAATTCCCATTACTCTGTAAGGTGTTAACACTTTAGTACAGCATCAACCTAGTCTATTTCTAAAACAATGGATTCCCACTCACCAGCTACATATAGGAGCAATTCATTATTTCAAGGCTGCCAACTCCATCATGCAACAGGTTTGTAGACAGTCCATTCAAAGACTCATAATTTACATAACCTCAAAGAAATCCATTCAAAAGGTCAGGTCAGCAAAATGGATATCGGTTTTAAATAATGTGCTAGTGTGGGCTGAACTATTCACATATGTTTTATATATCTCATGGATTCCAGCGGCAAGAGTTATATACTCAGATCCACCCCTATGAAGCGGTCAGTACCATGGGTTCTCACTCTCCCTGTTGGGTTTTTTTCATTCATGTAAAAATTACAGTGATTGGATCAGGAAGAGGGAGACTCCTTTCTAGAATGGAGCTGGACCTGGAAGCGAAGAGATCTTTCCTTTCAAAAAGGTATAAATTAAACAGTAGTACACGGCTCAGCCTAACATAATACACCTGAAACAGAAATATCAGCTTTGTGTAGAATAATACTTTCACTTTTCAGAGAGCAGAAGACTTCTTAGCTCCTCAGACCATAAACATGATATGCAGGTAAAGTGGCAGAATCAAGTTGTCTATTTGGGTAGTAAAAGCTTCTAGCAGTGACACCAATGTGATGGATCCCACTAACCAGATGTAACCAGTGTTAATGTTCACACTGCTATCAAATATAAGGATAAGGGCCACTGCGATGATCTGGGCAAAGATGGACATGACAGTCCCCTCAAATGTCTTCTTCGTACCAGGCCACTTAATTTCTCCCATTGAGCTGCCACAGACAGAAGCTATAGTGTCACCAACTCCCACTGCCAGAATGCCACAATAAGGGAGCAAGGTAGAGGGGCCAGAAAGAGATGATGCACAGAGTCTTGGAAAGAGCCAAACTGGTAGAGACATCCCCAAGAGAAGGCAAATGTGTGACAGGATCAGTGGACCACTATCCCGCTCATCCAGGAACAGTGTCAGGAGAGTCCGTAAGGCCTGTCCAAGTGGCTTGATACGGAAGAAGCGAACATATTCCAATAGCACAAAGACGGCTAAGCATACCACTGCAGCCACATACAGTAAAGGACGATCGTACATGACTCCAGGAATGTAGACAACCACTGCAAGAAAATGAAAGTACTTGCGGGTTATGGTGGAGACTTGTGGCTTTTTGGAGTCTGTGGATCTTTTTGAATTTTGAAATAGAACAACTCCACAAGCAACAAGAACGAGGAATGTCCAGAAGACTAGGAGATACAGTCGTGTTTTGCTCTGAACCAGAAACTCCACCAGCCAGAAGAGTGGATGTCTCTTGATGAGGTACTGCAGCCAGGGCACAAAGACTCCCAGACCTAAAACGGCAGTCATCATGTAGAAAAACAAAGACGAGGTCCACGTTGTGGAGTCCATGAAAAAGAACAAGGCTGAAAAAATAATGCCTAGCAGGACCAAAGCAACCAAAGTCACCAGCAGGAGGTAATCAACAGGATCTCCCTTTCCACCCATTGCATTCAAAGAACGCTTGATAAGCTGGTTGAGGACGAAGCTGAGGCCACCAAGGATAATAAGGGCCTCTCCAGGAGTGAAGCACCGTGGTAGCAAATAAAGGATAATCATGCTGAGATACACGAAGATGAGGAGCACCTCCAGAACTTCGATAATTTCTGATACGGCCAAAGAATTCTTCATAGTATATAGTACCGCACAACCAGTGGCTCCAGACACTATGCAGGTGTTTTTTTTCGGCACAGGTTTAGTAATACCCAGTGCAATTATGGATAGGAAATAGGCCAAGGCCATTCCGGTGGCGGATACGACCACCCCAAACCTTTCAAAGTAGACGTTGCCGGAGGTCTTACACCTCTCCCTCATCACAATGCCAAGCAAAGGGATGATCATACTGGCTGGAAGGAGTCCACTGTTGGCAGAAGATCGAAACTGGAACACTGCTCCACCACTCTGCAGCAATCGATCCCATTTGTGCTGCACATAAAAAGCCTGTACAGCCAAGGCTAGGGTGCACCAGGAATAGCGATCCCACACTACAGAATGAATACTTAGGACGATGCAAAAGACCACGAGGGACTCTGCAACCAGAAGTTTATTCACCATATTGCCAGAGACCTCCGATTCAAAGAATTCCGAACTTTTACAAGGCTTCCAGAAATGATTCACGCTTGTCTGCGTCTACAAAGGTTCCCTCGCTTTTTCATGTTCCTTCTCTGGAGAGTCAGCGATCAAACCTAAAAAAATATGTAACACATGTTATTAAGGATAAATTATTAAAGTAAACCTAATCATTAAAAATCTCATATAAACAAATGTTCAATATTCCTAAATCTGCTGCTACCCGATGTTCCTGCCAGCGTCGAGTCCCAGTCTACCAATCTTGCTCCTGCGTTGTGGCCCAGTCACACAAACTTCCATTGCAGACTACAAATAGTAGTTTCCACACACATTGTAAAGGTATGGTCTATTGTAGTCACCACCAGGAAACCTACCCTGTAGAAATTGTGGAATTAAAGAAAGTGGCTGCAAAGAGCTTTCAGGAGGTGAACAGCGCTGAGTTGCAACAAAGAAAAAAAAATTGTAAAAATAGTGATTTTAAAAAAACTAAATGTCGAAAAGCTAAACTGAAAAGCAGTACAGCTCTAATGCTACAGAAGGTAGGTCCTGTGGCTGGTGACACTACAACCCTGGCAAAAAGTATGGAATCACCACTGTTGGAAAATGTTCATTCAATTGTTCAATTGCATAGAAAAAAAACGAATCACATACATGCCTCAAAGCTATTTTCATTTAACATCCCAACCTTCTGGCTTTAAGAAACACTTAAAAAAACGAAATACATAAAGAAAACTGTAGTCAGTTGCAACTGTTCTTGCAGATCAAGCAGAGGAAAAACAATATGGAACCACTCAATTATGAGAAAAATATGGAATCATGAAAAAAAAGCGTGGATTTAACGATCAACAAACTGTATTCTTCATCAATACGGCTCCAACTTTCTCTTATTGCAGTTGCCAGATCAGCTTTGCAGGTTGGAGCCTTATCATTGACCATTTTCTTTCATTTCCACTATAGATTTTCAATTGGATTGAGGTCTGGACTATTTGCAGGCCATGTCATTGACATTAAGGGGTTTATTTACTAAAGCTGGAGAGTCCAAAATCAGACTCCCCTTCTGCATAGAAACCAATCAGCTTCCAGGTTTCATTGCCAAAGCTTCATTGAACAAGCTGAGGTTAGAAGCTGATTGGTTTCTATGCAGAAGGGAGTCTGATTTTGGACTCTCCAGTTTAGTAAATAAACCCCTATGTCTTTCTTGAAGGAAAGTTTTCACGACTTTTGCCCTATGGCAAGATGCATTATCATCCTGAAAAATGATGTCATCATCACCAAACATCCTTTCAATTGATGGAACTGTCCAAAATCTCAATATAAAATTGTGCATTTATTGAAGATTTAATGACTTGTCATCTCCCCGGCACCTTTACCTGACAAGCTACCCCATATCATCAATGACTGTGAAAATTTGCTTGTTTTCTTCAGGCAGTTGTCTTTATACATTTCATTGGAACAGCACCATACAAAAGTCCCAGCATCATCACCCTGCCCAATGCAGATTCGTGATTCATCACTGAATATCACTTTCATCCACAGTCCTTGATTGCTTTTCTATAGCCCACTGTAACCTTGTTTATTCTGTTTAGGTGGTAAATGATGGTTTTTGTTTGGCTTTTCTGTATGTAAATCCCATTTCCTTTGTTGTGCATTTTCTATTTTCAAAGCATATTGCTTTAAGTTAAAGTTTAAGTGGGCAGCACAGTGGCTAAATGGTTAGCACTTCCACCTGGCAGTACTAGGGTCGTTGGTTCGAATCCCAACCACGGCACCACCTGCCTGGAGTTTATATGTTCTCCCCCTGTGCCTGCGTGGGTTTCCTCCCACACTCCAAAGACATGCTGGTAGGGTAATTGGATCCTAAATTGGCCCTAGTATGTGTGTGTCAGTTACCTTAGACTGTATGACTGTCCTGACTGGACTAGAACTGATGTGAATGTACAATATACAGTGAAGGAAATACGTATTTGATCCCCTGCTGATTTTGAATGTTTGCCCTCACAAAGAAATGATCCGTCTAAAAATCAAATGGGAGGTGTATTGTAACACTGAGACAGAATAGCAACAAAACATTCAAAAGAAATGCATGTCTAACAAATGATGACTGATTTGCATGTTCATGAGGGAAATAAGTGTTTGATACCCTTCACAAAACATGACTTAGTACTTGGCCCTGAGGAAGTCACATGGGATTGAGACGCAACGCGTAGGTCTGACGCAGTGCTGCACTTCCGCCGTGGACGCCATCTTGGCACACCTTATTCCTATACCCACGGATGCAAAGTAAACCCAAAAGCACGAGGTTCTATGCTGACATATGCTGAAGATCTATGTGAGTGCGCATTTTTTTATATATTTTGTCCTATTTAATAAACATATTGCACTAAGGGAGAATGTGTTTTATGTTTTTGAATGAGATATTGGTGCTTCACCCCTGCCTTAACTGGAGAGGAGCCACTACCAGAGTGCTGACCCCCTGTGAGGGAGATTTGTTTGCGGTGAGAGCAGACCAGTGGAGAGGCTGCATACTTGAAGGATCTGAGGATGTGATCCCACAAAACGCTTTGATCGTTAGGGGTCGAAGTTTTGAGGTGAAAGGCTAATCTAGCTGGTGGTCGGATTGTTTTGTGCCAGCAGCTACCCACTGTCACATATTATCAGCACGAATGTCATCTGGAATTGGATAGTGATATTATCCACATCATATTGGACTGTTTGAGCACAGATCAGACGTTGCAGTCTGATCTAATTTGTGTGTTGTTGCATGGCATTTGCACAAATATTGTACACTGATTATTGTGTTGTTTGTTTTTTATTGCACTGATTGATATATTTTTACTTATTATAGGGGTTACATGTCCTTTGTCATTTTTTGTGGCACTTTAGATATTTATTGTATTTATATACACTAGGTCATGCATGTTTATGCTTTATATTGAGTTTGCAGTGGTTGAGACCTATTTTTTCTTGACTATTGTTCACCATCACTTCTTGGTCCAGCGGTATATCACTATATTTGTGGTATTATGTGGCATATTGCATGATTGTGTGTTATTTTTATATTGTGGCACTAAGTGAGCAGCATTTTTTAGTTTATTTCACCTATGTTTTTTACACAGTGTGTCACCATTCACATGTGTATTTTATTGGTTTAAATTATATGTTATTTATGTGAGTAGCGCTACATTTTTATTTTATTTATATCTACAGATCATGGGTATATTATTATTATACAGTATTTATAAAGTGCCAATAGTTCGCTCAGCGCTGTACATTACAGAGGGGGACAGAACATGTGACAGAACAATACCAATACAATGCAAAACATGAGGGGATCGAGGGCCCTGCTCTTTCCAGCTTACAATCTAGGATATATGATTTAATGTTAGCAGCTTCTTTTGGTAGGTCACATATTTAGGAGTATCAGTGCAGGAGGTTCACACCACTATTTCTTAAGATCCCCCTACACCTTCCATCTACACTATATTGCCAAAAGTATTGGGACACCCCTCCAAATCATTAGATTCAGGTATTCCAATCACTTCCATGGCCACAGGTGTATAAAATCATCACCTAGGCATGCAGACTGCTTCTACAAACATTTGTGAAAGAATGGGTCGCTCTCAGGAGCTCAGTGACTCCAAGCGTGGTCCTGTGATAGGTTGCCGCCTGTGCAATAAGTCCATCCGTGACATTTCCTTGTTACTAAATATTCCACGGTCAACTGTTAGTGGTAATATTACAAAGTGGAAGCAACTGGGAACAACAACAACTCAGCCACGAAATGGTAGGCCATGTAAAATGACAGAGCGAGGTGGCGCATGCTGAAGCGCACAGTGTGCAGAAGTCGCCAACTGTCTGCAGAGTCAATAGCTAAAGACCTCCAAACTTTGTGTGACCTTCAGATCAGCACAACAACAGTGTGTAGAGAGCTTCATGGAATGGGTTTCCATGGCCGAGCAGCTGAGTGCAAGCCTTACATCACCAAGTGCAATGCAAAGTATCGGATGCAGAGGTGTAAAGCATGCCGCCACTGGACTCTAGAGCAGTGGAGACATGTTCTCTGGAGTGATGAATCACGCTTCTCTGTCTGGCAATCCAATGGACGTGTCTGGGTTTGGTGGCCCCAGGAAAACGGTACTTGCCTGAATGCATTGTGCCAAGTGTAAAGTTTGGTGGAGGGGGGATTATGGTGTGGGGTTGCTTTTCAGGGGTTGGGCTTGGCCCCTTAGTTCCAGTGAAGGGAACTCTTAAGGCATCAGCATACCAAGATACTTTGGATAATTTCATGCTCCCAACTTTGTGGGAAGAGTTTGGGGATGGCCCCTTCCTGTTCCAAAATGACTGCGCACCAGTGCACAAAGCAAGGTCCATAAAGACATGGATGAGTGAGTTTGGGGTGGAGGAACTTGACTGTCCCACAGAGTCCTGACCTCAACCCCAATAGAACACCTTTGGGATGAATTAGTGGAGACTGTGAGCCAGGCCTTCTCGTCCGACATCAATACCTGACCTCACAAATGTGCTTCTGGAAGAATGGTCCAACCTTCCCATAGACACACTCCTAAACCTTGTGGACAGCCTTCCCAGGAGAGTTGAAGCTGTTATAGTTGCAAAGGGCGGGGCCAACTCAATATTGAACCCTACGGACTAAGACTGGGATGCCATTAATGTTCATGTGCGTGTTAAAGGCAGGCCGACCAATACTTTTGGTAATATAATGTGTGTGCCGAGGAGAGATACCAGAGTACAGAAATTATTGGCCTCTCATCTGTTTGCAGTGAAATGATTCTCAGACTTCCCATCCTGTTCTCAGTGCTTTGTGCTACTTCCTGTCCTGGTGACACCCTCACCCCCCATTCCAAGTATGGGTGTCACAGGGACAGGAAATGAGGAAACTCTCCCAGATGGGGTCACAGACAGAAATGTCTCTTCTCTGCTGTCTGAAAACTACAAATAAAAACTTTTTTTGTGGAGGAGGCTGGGAC